GAGGGAGATGAACCCTGCAATTACATTTATGTGAGTCTGTCACCTTATTTGTAAAACCTTAGAGTCATTTACATTCAAATTAGAACAAATGAGTGATTTCACAAAGTGTGGTGATAAATGACCACAGCAGCCCAAGACAAAACTGTATTTCCTGTGAACACATTAACAGTTTCCTATTATTTGTTAAAAATTACAATGCACATTGCCCAGTGTGGTGTGAATAATGACTTTTTTACTGATTAGGTCATAAGACTAATATGTAGCAAAATAAATAATTTTTCTTTTCATTTTTTCTGAGTTTTGCTTTAAATTAACTACTGAATTCTGGTGGATTCACACTGCCACCTGCTGCCTAGGAGCAGATACTAAAAGCATATTCCTATCAAAAGGAGTTAATTCACCATTTTGGTGGTCTTATTCAGAAAGTCTAGTGAGAGTTCTTTCTCATCAGTATATTTAAACTGCACTTCATAATAAGGGCTGATACTTGGCAAACCAAAAGATCACTTACTCATCAAATAATAGGATATACCATGTGTTATTTAGGGGAGGGAGTACAAAATCTACAAACCTTTTTTTTGAGTACAAAATCTACAAAGCTAACTATAGAAAAAGTCATTTTGAGCAAAGCATGTGTATCTCCTAATACATCACTTTCAGAGGATACAGCACAAAATCAAGTGGCCAAGACCCCTGATCTTATGCTAGGGGAGTTTTGGGGAGGGTCGTGTGTGTGTGTCTGTGTGTTCCCTGCTCTTGACCCCTGGTACAATCTGAAGGTAATGACTGAAGGTGCTGCCTCTCCACTGAGGATCTCCACCACCTAGTCCTTCCTCCCAGTGTCAAGTTCCAACATGAAAAGAAGGCCTTAGTGTCCAGAACAGAGCAGACTAGGAAAGTTGTGAGGACAAGATGTGAGGTTCAGGAGGATCAGGCCTGGCCTTGGAGGCCGGGCTAAGGGTTTCTGTAGGTAAGATGATGCGGCCCAAGGGTCATTAGGGAAGCTAGTAGGGTTTTCCAAACCAGATCAACGTCCTAGCTCTGACTTTAAGTTTCTCCATCTGTAAGGAGAAACTCTCGTCTCTTCTCAGCAGAGGAGAAATGGGAATCTCTGTGCAAAAGACTCAGTACAGATAGGCTCTCAATAAATGTTGGTTCTCTTTTCTGTGAAAGATAATGATGGCTCTGGGGACTATAGTTTGGCATAGATAGAGGTGAGAAACAAGCAGGCCCCTTAGGAGGAAATGATGAACTCATAACATACAGCCAGTGATGGTGAGAGTTTAAAGAAAGGTAAGAAAATGAGCAAAGGAGAAAAGGACCTGGTCTGAGAGATATTCAGGAGGTAGAATGAACGCAACTTGATGACTGACTGGATACAGTGATGAGGAAGGGGGTTCTGAGACTCCGTCCAAATTTCTAGACAACTAACAGATCAATGGTACCACCAGGAGAGAAAAGGATAGGTTTTTCTCATGTTGGATCTGAACTGCCTGTGTGATGCTTAGATAGAGATGTTCAGAAGGTAACTTTAAAAAGGTAAGGAAAAGTCAAAGTTTAGGAAAGGTGGACTCAGAAAGTTTGTAATGTTTATCTGAAGGACTCAGTAAGTCAGCAGCCACATTAGAATCCCTTTATTCACAGCCCATGTCCTGAGGATGGTCTGCAGAGATTCCTTTGTAAGATTAAACATAGTGACTGACGTGTGTGTACACATGCATACTCTGAAAAATAAGAAAATTTACATGTTTTACTGGGCCTACTTTAAAACAAGTATTGCTCTTTAGTGAATTGGCTCACTTTTCTGATGAAATTTTTTGAGTACAGTGGGCAAGAAAGAGGAGCAGAAGGCGGAACAGGGAAAGCAACATTCTCATTTCATTTGAGACTGAATCTCAGATAGCAGGTAAGTCTGACAGGTCACGCTTATTAATAATATGTAACATGACAGGCTATACAGGATAGAATCCTACAGAATTTCATTGCAAAGCAGTGAGAAAGGATGCACACTTGAGGAGCTGTTTATAAACCCCTCACCTTAGGATGATGGGCTATTACAGTAGCCATTCATCCTTGCAGCCACCCCGTCCTCAATGAGTTAGCTGTTTTCACGGCCACACTACTAGTTAATCCCACCAATATGTGCTGAGACCACGTGTGTTCTCAATGAGAGGTCCAGTGAGAGGGCCCGGGGCCAGAAATGAATAAGCGAAGACTCACAGGACAAGGAAGACCTCACAGCCTGAGAGGCTAATTCGTGGTTATCCTCCCTGACACAGAGGGATGCTGCTCTTGTGATGTGGGCTCCTGGCCCTCACCAGCCTGCCAGAGAAAAAGCAAGAGAAAGGAGGCCACACAGTTACCTCAAAGTGTCCCTTCCCTTGGCTGGGGGCCAGCAGCAGCTTCCAGGCATGTGCCGAAGAAGCTTCAGGTCAACACAACAGCTGATGGCTGGGGAGGCTCAGGGTGGCTTGGGTGGGGCAGTGGGTTTCTGGAAGTGTCCACCTAGCACTTCTCCTAGCATATGCTTTTTAATGAGCCGTAGAGGACAGGAGGAGGCACCAAAGCCAAAGTCGACCCTTCACATCTCTGAAATAATGGTAATCTGAGAACAACAAAATAATACCAGGCATCTTAGGAAAATGGCTTCACAAACTCCTTGTTGTACCTAACAAGGTCTACTCCAGTATTCTTGCCTGGAGGATCCCATGGACAGAGGGCCCTGGTGGGGTACAGTCCATAGGGCTGCAAAGAGTTGGACATGACTGAAGCGACTCGGCAAGCACCAAACAAGGATGGAGAATATACTAGCTTTGGTGATGGGTCTTAATTTCTAACTACAGTTAAAGCACTAAAGATTTTTCATTTTAACAGAAAATGCTTTATATACCCAATAAAATGATTCCATAGGAAATTAAAAACTAGTTAAGCAATAATGCCAAAAAAATCATAAATACGTATAGTTATTTGATTCTGTCAAAACATAAAAGCAGACTGACCTCTTCTGGTAATTTGATAATCCTAAAAGAGAGGCAGGGGATATATCTGTAAAAGACTGACATAATGAAGGCTTCTGCACACAAATGGTTCTAATCCACTTACAGTCAAATTTCCTTCTAAAAGTTGAACATCTTGTAACATCAGAGATAAAAAGAAAAAGGAAAGTTACATAAGAGAATGAAATGAAAACATTGGTTAAAACAAAGTGAAATCTTTAACCCCTGTTCAGACAGGCTAATAATAAATGACCTACCAAAACACATCTGTATGCAAGTTACATTTTTTTTCCAGAGCAAACAATGAACTGCAAGAATTAAAAATACCAAAGTGACACAAGTTAGCCAATATTTCAACAGGTTCATCTGATGGGTAGGGAAAAATACTCATGAACATACCATGTTCATCTGGAATTCTCATTTAGAGAGAATTATGGTTTACACACACACACACACACACACACACACACACCTGTATATACACACTATTTTAATATGCATCATGATAGCGAGCATCATAAGCAAACTTTTGTCAACACACATCATTAATTATTATCTACCAGGGAAAAAGTGAATCAGGTGATGATGCTGAAAGCACAGGTTGTAATATTTGTTGTAAAAATGTCAAATAAAAGTAATTTCAATTTCACAAATCGAACACACAGATTCGAAGTCTTATAACCAATGTTATTCTCATTTGTTACTTGCAGAAAGGGATTAAAATAGCTATCCCATATCACCCAGTGATATTGAGGGGAATCGGAAGGAAAAGAAGATAAAACATTTAAACATTTACTATTAGATTAAATATGCTGAGATAATGATAAAACTTTCATCCACTGTATTGGAACTGCCCCTTAGTTGAACACGGCTGACATTCCTTACACTGTCTCCCTAGGGAGCATTGGTTCCTATTTCCTGAGGTTGCTGGGGGGATGAAATAATATGATATATGAGAAAGGGCTTCGGAAATGACCTAATGAGTAACAGAATGGCTATATTTAAAATTAGAGAAATTATTAGGAAGGAAATAATTAGGTGGAAAAAATAGGATTTTTCTACTTACTAATAACATGTCATGTGCACAAGGATAGTAGAATTAAATTATGTAGATATATTATTTTTTCAAATTTACTTTCATTGTTGTTATAATCATGTAATAAATGCAAGTTAACAGTCATACTAGCAGAATAAATTGGAGGATCTCAAGATAGGGGGTTGGTACTTATCTCTCTGCAAAATAAGATGTACTACCTGTCTAAGATGTCCCGTGTCTTCCTATTGAAACAAAGGGTTTTCATCCAAGAAGAAAAAAAAAGGTGTTTGGAACCAGAAAGGCCTACCACTCACCAGCTATGGGCACACTGGGATCATTTCAAATCTTTGATTTTTTACCTATCATAATGTGTACCCTGTTGTGAGGGCCAAACGTGAAGCATCAGTGAGCAAGCGGCAGGTGCTCAGTGGACGGGCTACCCTCCCCCTCCCCTTCGCAAAGCCTTTCCTGCAACCCTAGCAAATCAGAGCAAAAATGCACAGATCACTCATCACTTCTCCAGAATTTACTGCCTGAGAAGTTCATGCAGCAATTAATTATATATGACTTCATGATATGTTAGCTACTGTTACCGAAATCTGAAATGACTGTCCAACTTTTCATGCATTTCCACAACCAGACAGCATTGGCTCAAGTCAAGCCCCTTGCTGGTGTCATCTCCGAGGGCCCCAGCAGTGAACCCTGTCTGTGGATTTTGAGTTGCTCTGCCACCCAAGGAGGGTGGAGGCCCAGGGTGGGCGGAGACGGCTGGGGACATGAGGTGGGATGCTGAGAGCTGCAGCTGCCCTCCTAGAAGCCTCAACTTGTGTCCTGGAGAAATTCCACCACCACAGGCCACATCTCCCACCCACCCCTCCTGTATTTTATCTGTCACTGGGCTCCAGTTGCTGGGTTACTGCAGCGGGAGGAATGAGCAGGGCAGACTAGCAGGATGCAAGCTTACATACCTGGATGAGATAGTGAGAACATAAATTGAGAAGCTCCAGTAACTGTAGGTGACTGCCAGCCGCTAACACATCCTGGATCACGCCTGGCTCCAACAAAATCTGTTGTTGTTTTTAATAAAAGAAAATAATCAGTTACTTAAAACTTGCCTAATGTGCAAAAATACTATATTTAAATTGCTCCTTAACATACTACATCTGAATTAATACCATTTCTTTTTAGGGAAGACAGTCCTTTTTTTCTGTTCTGATTAATGAGCTGTGGCCCTCATTCTAACAGCTGAGTTCTCATTTCCAATACTCATTTCTTGTGCACAAAGCTCCACACTTAACCACTTATTTTTGCAGGAGGATATGAACATTTGCAAAGACCAATATAATAGTCTTAAAATTCAGTTTGTGATGAATGTCATCTTATAAATACAGAAGAACTGAATTTCAGTTTTTCAATGTATACTTCAGAATGTTTTTCTTCAGTAAATTGCAGCAGAAACAGTACAGTTAACAGGTATTTGAGGGAATAGGGCTTACATTTCTCCTTGAAATACAAAACCAGAGGTAGATATTACTCCATTTTACTTCTAAATCCTATAATAACTTCAACCACAAGCTTTCATTTTTTTCCCTTCTCGATCTCTGATTCTCTAATCCTTTCTGTTTCAAATAAAAGATGTAGAAATAGTATTTTTAGTATAGAAAGGCATCAGAGAGAAAGCAAAATTCCCCAGATATACTGGCAATAGCAGTCTTCATTTTTTCCTGATTAGGTCCAACTTTGGGCCTACAGCTGCCAGCTCTTGAGCTGGTAAACAGGACTGGAGAAAAACACACAACTAAGTTGACTAAATTCACTTTACATCCAAGACTGTCAGGCACAGGAGGACTCAGTGCTGCTCCAGTCTTCCTCACCCATTTCCCAAGCCCAGAGGTTCCTGAAGTCTAGTCTCTGAACCAGCAGCATCAGCATTACCTGGGAAATCCTGAAAATTGCAAATTCTTAGGCACCTCCCCAGACCTAACTGAATCAGAAACTTTCAAGTAAGGCCCAGCAACTGGTGCTTTGACAAACCCCACTGGGGCTTCCGATGCCCAGTGAAGCCAGAAAAACACTGATGGAGTCAGCTCGCTCTCTCCCTCTAGTCCTCCTCTCATGCTCCTCTCTCCTCAAGCCTCCAACTCCTTGCCTCTCTTCTTATGCTCACCTTATGATCTTCCAAAGGCGCCCACCACCAAGTCTACCAACCCACCTACTCGTATCTGTTCCAGCACATTTTATTCTCCTCCACACTCCACTTGGGCACTAGATCCCATCTCTCTTTGCCTGATACTTCCCCTCTCGTTTCTGTATCATCAGCTGTTCTCTTCTACTGTTTGATAACTCTCACCAGCATACAAATATGCCATTTGAGCTCTTAAGAAATAAAAATCCCGTCCCTTGACCCCAAAGACCCTCCATGCTTCCCATCATTACAAAACTCCTCAGGGGAAGTTGTCTACATCAAACCCCATTGCTCGCTCTACTCTGCTCTCTTTCAAATCTATACCTGTTGAGTTTTGTTCCCATGGTTTCTCTAAAAATGCTCTCATCAAGGCCATCAGTGACTTCTACACCCAAGAGCCACTTCTCTATCTTTAATCTTACTCAAGCCAGCAGCAGTTAGCAAAGCTGACTGCTCCTCTTCTTGAACAACTTCTTCCCCTGCCCCTAGGACAACACTCTCTCTCTCGGTTTTTGCCTTTCCATCTCCTTCCCAAACTGTAAGCGCTGGACATGCTCAGAGCTCAGTCCCCCACCTCTTCTTTCCTCTCTCTACTAACTCCGTGGATGACCTCACATAATCCCATGGCTTTAAAACTATCCACACGCTGATTACATTCAAATTTGTTTCTCCAGCCCCAACCTCACCCTTGAACTTCAGGCTAATATTCAACCACCTGTTCTGTGTCACCACTTGGATATCTAATGGACGGCTCAACCTGAAAGTGCTCCACACTGAACTCTTCATCCTCTCCACCAACCACCAAACCTGCTCCTACCCCAATCCAGCCATTTCAGCAAAAAGCAACTCAGTTATTTACACTAAAACCCCAGAGTCATTCCTGACTCCTCTTATTTTTCTCATACCTCACATCTGATCCATCAGACACTCCTGTTAGCTCTACTTCAAAATAGTTTCAGAATCAAACATACTCAGTACCTCTTTCATCATTATCACTCTAGTCCAACCTACTGTCTCCTATATAACAGCCTCCTAACTAGTTGACCTGCTCTCTCCTTTGCCTTCTCACACTGCTTTTAATATCAATCAAATGGCTCTTTAATAACAGAAATGAAAAAAATAAAAAATAATAACAGAAATGAAATCATGTCACTCTTTCATTCAGAACTGTCCAACTTTTTATCTCATTGGAAAAAAGGCCAAAGTGTTCACTATATCATATAAATTCCTTTCGAATAAGTTCCTTCCCTGGTTTTTCCAGTGGTCATGTATGGATGTGAGAGTTGGATAAAGAAAGCTGAGCACCGAGGAATTGATGCTTTTGAACTGTGGTGTTGGAGAAGACTCTTGAGAGTCCCTTGGACTGCAAGGAGATCCAACCAGTCCATCCTAAAGGAGATCAGTCCTGGGTGTTCACTGGAAGGACTGATGTTGAAGCTGAAACTCCATACTTTGGCCACCTGATGCGAAGAGATGACTCATTTGAAAAGACCCTGATGCTGGGAAAGATTGAGGGCAGGAAGAGAAGGGGACGACAGAGGATGAGATGGTTGGATGGCATCACCGACTCAATGGACATGGGTTTGGGTGGATTCCGGGAGTTGGTGATGGACAGGGAGGCCTGGCATGCTGCGGTGCATAGGGTCGCAAAGAGTCAGACACACGACTGAGCGACTGAACTGAACTGAATCTTTCGAATACACAGAGCACCTTAGCGTTTACATCTAGCTGCTTTCTTTGTCTGGATTGGTCTTCCTCAAGATACCAGAGAGGCCCACTCCCTCATGCTCTTCAGACCTCTGCCCAGACAGCATCTTACCTAAGAGGCCTTCTCTGACCATCCAATGTAAAAAAGCACCCCACTCCCCACTCCCCATCACCCCTATCCCCAATCTCTTTGCTTTATTCTTCTTCATAGCACTTAACATCTCTCAACATACTACATATTTGTCTCGCTGATGATCTTCTGTTCCTCCACTCACTAGGATACATGATCCAGGAGAGTAAGAACTTCAGCCATTTTGTATCCCTAGCACTTAGAACAATAATAAAAAAAAAAAAAGCTTTCACTTAACATTGATGAATTTACCTTATAGTAATTTACGTAATTAATTTATCTCTGAAAGTGAAAAGTGAAAGTTGCTCAATTGTGTCCAACTCTTTGTGACCCCATGGACTATAGATACAGTCCATGGAACTCTCTAGGCCAGAATATTGGAGTGGGTAGACTTTCCCTTCTCCAGGGCATCTTCCCAACCCAGGAATTGAACTGGGGTCTCCTGCATTGCAAGCAGATTCTTTACCAACTGAGCTATCAAGAATTTACCTTTAGACATGCTTTTTTTAATTTTTAAAAATTATTTATTTATTATTTACTGTTGGTCACACCAGGCGGCATGCAGGATCCTGGTTCCCCAACCAGGGATAAAACCTGCACCCCCCCTGCAGTGGAAGTGTGGAGTCCCAACCACTGGACTGTCAGGGAAGTCCTCTAGATATATTTTTAAATTCAGAATTAACTTTATTAATAAGCCTAACATGAGAGGAAAGAGGGAAAAGGACTATACATTTTATTTCTCAATGATCAAAGAAGTGAAAAAGTTAAGCATGTGTGGCAAAAATACCAACACTCATCTTATTCTGAAAATTCTTTACAGCTCCTTTCCTGTCTAGTCAGAGGGAAAAATCTGAATTTTTCTAACTCCTCAAGGAGAAAGGCTTTGACTGACATTCAGGAAATTATTGCAGCTCCCTTCATAGAAGCAAGGATGTAGTGTATTCTTGCAGAAGAGGCATGGCCTAAGGCGCAGAATGGGGAATAGATGGATTAGAAAGGTTAGTCTTAGCCTTTAAATCCTGTCAGTTGCGCTTATTTCATACAACTGGCATTCATGATAACCTCTAAGGCTCAGTAATGCCAAACACAAAGACAGATATCACAGAGAGACAAGATGAATATTCCATAGCACGTGTAACACATCTAGCGGGCCACCTGGAGAAACCTCAGAAGAGAAACCCATACTGGGATTGTTTTTTGTCTTTGTTTCTTGATTTCTGTTCTGTAGTTTTTTCCTTCTCTCATTATAACATAAGTTTCTCTTAAAAAAAAAAATGCTTATTCACAGAAAATCCCTAGGTGATTTTAAAGGAAGTGGTTTGAAAAAACAAAAACAAAAACCTACCAGAAAAGCTGGGTCTCACTTACAGAAACAGAACCAGCATTTCCAAGCTCCACTTACATGTATTTACATTAGTCGCTGCCCAACTCTTTGCAACCCCATGGACTGTAGCCTGCCAGGCTTCTCTGTCCATGGGATTTCCCAGGCAAGAATACTGGCGTGGGTTGCTATTTCCTTCTCTAGGGTATCTTCCCAACCCAGGGATCAAAGCCGGGTCTCCCGCATTGCAGGCAAATTCTTCACCATCTGAGTCACTGGGGAAGCCCTCAAAGTCAGTTCTGTAGCTGACTGGTGACTGGTTGTCCTCATATATTTTTCCAGAGAATTTGTGTTTGGGCATAAAAGCAAAGGTTGGACCTCATCCTGGTGTACAATATGGCCAATCGATGGGTCGTCTAGATGAACCGGGTGAAAACGGCCTTCTGTAGAAGGAAGGGCTCTCCCACACGCCAGCTGACAGATGACAATGGAGATCGCTCACCACACGCCAGCTGACAGATGACAATGGAGATCACTCACCACACGCCAGCTGACAGATGACAATGGAGATCGCTCAGTTTAAGTGTTGCGGAGCATACGCTGGTTACCTTAGGCCTCTCAGGAATGCATATCCACCCACATCTAGTCTGGCCCTCAAAGCAGGTCAGATGGGAAGAAGGATCACTCCAGGACCACCCACAGGAGGGAAGGGCATCCCTGACAG